CTTGAGTAAAGAAATTTAATCAGTACTTCCACTTTTACCAGAGTATTTTTTAACACAAGTATCTGTACTTTTACTCAAGTACGGAAAGTGAGTACTTTTGCCATCTCTGCTCGAAAGGGGGAACGCCTATTAAATGCATGCAAGAATTTGCACAAACCCACTTCTATGTTTACAAGTTGCTGTTTGCATCGCAAACAGCCTACTTTTACAAGCCTACTTTTACACTTTTTCACGTACGACCCTCTTCCATTTTCAAAGTGCTGCAGTGAGAAATGGGAGCTTGAAAGACAGGCTGAAACTGTCACCACACATATAGACCTGAAAGTATGCATGCGCAGAAAAAGATAGGTACCTACAGTATAGCGACAAGCACAAAGGATTGCCTTACGTAACATTTCACAAGAATGATTAACAAGGACCACTTATTTTGATGATCCACCTGGAAAAAGAACTTCCTCCACTTTGCCTTTAAGGTTTGTTTAGATTATTCTCTAACTTGATATGACTTGCCTTGAGGAACCATCTCATCACCTGTAGTAAGACCTTTTTAAATTCATTTTCTTAAATCATAAACTACAAGCTAAAATTGGGATTCTTGCTGGAGTTCAAAACAGTCAGTAAGGAGGAAATATCAAACCTTTTTGTGTTTTACAGCCCTGACACAGGGCGATCACCCGAATGGAGCAAACATAGATTTAGGTTTGATTAATTGTCATTAAGTCCATCTATCTATCTATCAATCTTCTGTCATGCTTATCCCAAGCAGGGTTGCGACGGGTGCTGCTGCCTACTACGGGCGAGAGGCGGAGTACACCCTGGACAGGTCGCCAGTCCATCGCAGGGCAGCACAGAGACAATCAGGTAAAAAAAAAATGGACACACACACTCACACCTAAGGAGAATTTAGAGAAGCAAATTAACCTAACTGTCATGTTTTTTTAGCTATGGTAGGGAGCCGGAGTACCCGGAGAGAACCCATGCATGCACAAAGGGAACTTGAAAACTCCATGCAGAAAGACCCTAGGCCGGCATGGAACCCGGATCCTTCTTGCTGCAAGGCAGCAGTGTTAACCTCTGCGTCACTGAGCAGCCCTCATTTAAACTTGTTGAACAAAAGACAATGTTAATTGCAATAAAAAACAATCGTGTATATGGTTTTCATGAAACGTTAAGCTATTGCCTTTTATTAAAAGGACGGGTCTTTGGAGGAAAAACTGACAAATAAAACAGGAACAGTGAAATGATTGAAGTCCCTCTTTATGGCTGTTTTTACGTTAAACTTTTTACTAAATAATTTTTTTTCTGTGTCCAAAAAAACTTTGATCAAAATCAATTCCAGGTGCTTTTCCACTTGTGTAGAAATATAAAGTCCAGATATTACAGAAGCACAATAAACAGATATTAAATTTCCACCTTTATTGGAATTACCCTTGTGAGGACCGAAGATGTCCAAATATTTAGTCGGGTTCCGTGAACAGATGCTCCATGAAATGAATGCCCTCCCATTGCGCTCAATTATCCTAGTGTGCTCAATGGACTTGCGCTTCTGAGGAGCCTAATTAAGAAAGAATAAAAGAAGAGGGAGCGTATTTCTCACGCAGCAGGAGAAAGAAATGTTTTCCATCAGCCCTAAAGACACCCTCAGGAGTACTCAGCTAAATTACAATAAGCACTTAGGCAGACTGATTGAGTTTAAGGTAATGATAGTAAATGAGCCAGTGTGGATTTGTGCCTCACAGCTTGCAACTATCAAACAGAATTAGGATGATAAATGTGTTGTAAATGGATATCTATAACACATTAGTATGAAGAAGCCAGCAATGGAAGTCTTCCTGAATGCCATCCATCCTTTAATACAAAGCAACATTTTCCCAGTCCAATAATTTTAGTTTATAGACAGGCTGTTACACAATTTGTAAACAGTTTTAATGTATTTTTATTTTTTAAATAGCTAAAAAAAAGATAAGATTTATCACTCACTAGTGACATAGAAAATAAGGAAAGCTACTTAAAGCTACTGATTGCTCATTTTTGTAAAATCAATCAAACCTACTTAATTTACAGATTTTCCCCTATATATGATGTCACATTTTAATATCCAAATTTTAAATTAAGCTTAAGCAAAAATTCAGACTGAAAGACTACACCCCCAACTCTTATCCCTCTAATGTTCAGCTGTTGCACTGCAAAAAACTTAAGTATAGGTAAGTCAATATTTCTTGAAATACTGTAAGGGCATTTTCTCTTGATTTGAGCAGGTTAGATAGAACATTTGTCAATGAAATAAGAAAATGTATGCTTAAAATAAAAAGACTGTATCATCTTATTTCAAGTACATAGTGGGGAAAATATTAATTCCATTCATAGATCATCTTATTTACCTGTTGAAATTAGGGGCATTGGACTTAGTTTTTTTTGCAGTATATCAGTCCTGTAAACAGCTGTGGGATGGCCTATCACCATTTAGGACTCTAGTTAATAAAGCCTGGGTTCTGTCGACGGCGTTTCTCCACCATCAAGCTGCAGCCCCCCTCCCCTCTATCTCGACCATCAGCCTCGCTTTCATCTGGCTCCCTTCCTCCTTTGGCCTCCATTCCCCTATCCAGAGGGAACACGTACCTATCCTAATTCATCTGCTCAATCATAACATCATAATTTTCCTTGCTTACGCCTTCCAGTCAGGCCTAAACGCCAGAGGCTATATTTCTCCATCCATCCATCCATCCATCCATCCATCCATCCATCCATCCATCCATCCATCCATCCATCCATCCATCCATCCATCCATCCATCCATCCATCCATCCATCCATTTTCTGACACGCTTTATACCGAGTGAGGTCGCGAAGGGTGCTGGTGCATATTTCCAGCTGTCTACTGGTGAGAGGCAGGGTCCACCTTGGACAGATCGCCAGTCCATCGCAGGGCAACACAGAGACAAACAGGACAAACAACCATTCACACGCACACTCACACCTAAGACCAATTTAGAGAAGCCAATTAACCTAGCAGTCTGTGGGAGGAAGCCGTAGTACCCGGAGAGAACCCACGCATACTCAGGGATAACATGCAAACTCCATGCAGAAAGATCCCGGGCCAGGAATCCAACCCACAACCTTCTTGTTGCAAGGCAGCAGTGCTAGCTGCTAGCCGCTATATTTCTGATATGTATCAATACAACAACAAATTGTTGCTTGTCTTCTGTTCGCGTCTTTCCAGGTTGAAATCTTTACTTAATAAGATTGAAGTTTATCTTCCCAAACATGCCTCTCAGTGCATCACATTAGGGACAATTTAAATTCAGCTGTTTTTACTCTACGGTTAGACAGAAGTTGTTGTTGCTGTAGGTCAGACTGCATGCACTCTACCATAAATAACTAATCAAGATTTTACTAATATAATATCACATTTACACATTTAATGCGTTTACGTGAAAAAAGCATGACATTTAAACAAGAACATAAGAAGTTCTAAAGTCAGTAAGTGTAACTGTTGCTCTTTGCTTCAGCTTTGTTATCAACAGTTGCTTTAAAGGTGGCTTTGGGTAACTCAGAGTTAGAGCTCAAATACTCAAAGATGTGTAACAGATTCTTCAAATCTCAACTCAGATCCCTAGTCTGGATACAATTAGTCCTTTAACCAAACTTTAAATAATACTTCTTTTTATAGTAAAAGATTTAGTACTTAGAGCTCCATTGCTGGCATTGCAAAGAATGAAGAATGGGCCCATAAAAACATTTCCTGTTGGTTCTATCTCAGTGATATTTGTAAAGGTGTGTGTCACACCCGCTGGGTGTCTGTAATAGGCTGTGTCCAACTCTACTTTAAGGGGGCCTGCTGCTCTACAGACATGATTAAAGACATGCTTGCCTTTTATCAAGCCTGGCCCACTTTATTAGTCAGAATCAATATAGGTTATTATATCTATTTAGGTCGCTCCATTTCTCCCCATTCTTTTCCCCTAACCTTCTTATGCAGTGAAGGTGATTACTTCTTTCTTGACAAAAAGGGATTGCTGCTTCAAATAATTTGACTCCAGAGGGAGATTACATAAAACATAAAAATGTATAACTTATAGTATTACACTATGAGTAGGAAAAACTGTGTATAATTAATGGGGAAGTACACATATCTATTATCATTAACAACCTTGGTATTCCTAGGGTTAACAAGCCTTTTCATGAATGATGAAGATTAATCCTTTTCCCCCAAGGTGTAAGATCAGCTAATAAGAGCAAAACCTTATATTTTTTGGATGTCTGAAGTAAAAATTTGCACTTTAATACGAAGCTTTTTTTTATGTCATGTAATTTTTTTTTGTAAAATACACTTCTTTAAAACTAAATGCACAGTATGAGGTTAATCTGCTTGGCAGAGAAGGTTAATTTGTTGTTCTTTAGTCTTCAAAAAAGTTTCTTAGTAAACATTAAAAAGCTCTAACAATAACCCTAAAAGCATAAAAAAGATGACAGTGATTAAACACTGTCCTGCACTTTAAACATTTTAAATCCACCCAAAAAAATCTAGAGAAAAAGTTAAATTGGAAGAGTTGTTACTTTAGTTTGCTAAAATTAAAACATCGCTAAAATCTGAAAATAAGAAGCTGTAAGTCGCCTGTTTTATTTGTGTATCTTGATTAGCTGCACATATGATTCATGTAATAAAGGGATCACACCTTCTTTGCTTTATTCTACAAGTTTCATCCTCTGAGGGTAACAAAGCTCTGGATACTTAGCCAAAAAAATCTGATATTTAGTATTTGAATAGAATAGAATAAAATAGAATAGAATACGTGACAGTAGTTTAAAGACATGCACTTGTTGCTGCACATTAATTTTGCTGCATTGACTCATCATTGGAATATAACAGCAACCAAAAACCAAAAATAAGAAACACAAAAGCACTCAAATAGTTGCACACATGAAAAGGTGGCCTACTGTATAGATGTGAAAACCACATGTAACGACGGTTGACATTTTGTCAGTGACCACATGCCATTACCTTTGGAACAAGCAGCAGCGCCAGAGTTACGGTCACAGTCAGATGAGTATGAGCAAAGAATAACATGAGCATCCAGTCGGGGTGAAGCCCAGGAGCCAACGAGAACCTGCAGGAAAACGTCAAAAGGAAAAGATTTTAATTAAATTCATCCTAAGCCCTCTGTCAGCTAAGAACAGAGCATACTCAAGAGTTTCAGAACACAACAGAGCTTAGTTTTATTATGGATTAAAACAAAAATATATGGTTTTATTTAAAACAGTCAAGCAATAATATTTTTTTAATGCTGCTAAAATATTGCATATATCCACAGAAACATCTAGAATCTGGATCTATTTAAGCATCTGTAGTTTTACTTTTGTTTCATGTCTTAAAGAAAGATACTGCAAACTTGGAACTTGCATCTGTTGATCCTTCCTAAGCATAGTTTTTTTTAAAGTCAGCAGTATACTTAGAGAACAAAATAATAGTGTGTAGATACTGAATGATGGTAAAAAAAAATTCAAATTAGCATGTTCAATTTAGCTTGATTAAAACTGAATCAAGCTAAAACTTAATTTAAGTTTACTGTCCACAGCAGGTAATCTAAAATTGAAAGTGAGGTTTGAGGTCACAGTTGAATGAACACAAACGAGCCACTAATCAAGTAATCAACATTAATGAGATGAGAAAATTGTTGTTCTGTTTACTAAACTCAACATCACAATATGTAAAGCCAAAGAAGTCAGAGGAACAAAAGATTTCAGCTGAACTAAATTGCGCACAACCCTGTATCTCTACTGTATGTACAGATTTTAATATGAACAATGTATACCAGATGTATGACTTACAGAGTAAGGACACCTTTGTGCCATAAGAGCCAAGTGTAGGATCCTTGCTTAAGTCAGCTGATTGGTAGTGCATAGCAACAAGTAGATGACCTGCTCCATGTAACCAGATAAAACTCTGCTCTTATGACTTTCAACATTTTTGGCAGTTTTAAAACAAACAAATTAAGCATTGATGCACTTTTAGACAGAGGTAACATACTTGTGCATACCACTGATTTACATATTTTGTGCTTGACGTCTTCATGCTGACATGATTCTGTTGGCCTTCAGCTCAGCACATTTTGTAGTTCAGAGTTTGGCAATTTTTGCAAGAAAAACAACACACCTTGAATGTGTGGCACTTCACTTTCAACTCAAAATACTCTAAAGGAAAACCTTCAAGTTGAGTTTGTAATGTTTTTCATCATCATCTGCTTTTTGAAGCACCTTAAAGATGACAGAAATAATGTGTCCTGACTGTGCAAGGTTAAGCTTTGTGGCTGATTAAATGGAATCCAGACAGATGACTTACAGCTGATCTCCTCTAACAGCAACAGGTTGCTGCTAGTCTCACATGCTGAAAACGGTTCTAATTGTTGAGGCTCCATTCATTAAAGTTTTTTAGTTTGCATTCATTGGTAAAAGGACTCTGCAAAAGTCTACAATAATGCATATGCAATACAAACGGCAACTATGACTGTAAATCAAACAGGTAGTTTGGGCAGCATTAGACCTTGTTTTGTTCAGTAAGAAATAACGCCGAATATCTGAGATCAAACGTGCTCATTGCCTTGAGAACCACTAAAATAGCTGAGTGGGGCTCTCGTCTTTAATTTCACAGAGACAAACAAATCTAGCCTTATCTCGGTTCTACAGAAAGTCCTATTTAAATTGGTGTTCATTTTCATTTCATCAGATGAAACAACTTTTTATGTAATAGTCCCTCTGTTCCATATGTGTTTGCTTCAAAAGAATGCATGGCTTTCAAATGATTCAAGAGAAATTGGGATTTTTTCTTTTTATCTCTAAAAGGGTCACCAGAACCAACAGTCGATCTGGAATTTCACTGCAGTATGTGTAACAAATGAACCTATACCCCTGGGCAACTAGCTGCAAACAGCTGCTAAGGTTCATCCCTTTGGTAACTTAAGAGTCCCCAGTACTTAAGGTAAATAATAAATACTACTGACAGGATGTCTGTGTTGCATAGTAAGCTAAATACATTATATGTATCATGACATATTAGATTTTAAATTATGGATTTTGGATTACTGTATAGACTGTGCATTTTCTCCTTGTGCATGAATGCTTTTTTCTCTAGGTGCTCCAACTTTCTCAAAGTGTAAAGCAGACAGTCCCCCTTTGCATGTAAGGCTAACTGGCCTTTCTAAAAACTGCATGATTCTAACACTAGATTGTTATGGGAAGTTAAGGGCAGGGAAACATGAATTTCATTCATGTGGTCTGTTTATTCGTTTCTCCATCTGTCAAATTATTTCACTTCTGTTTTCAATGTTGCTTTCAAAAAATAACAAATGGTCTTTAGTGCTGCATTGTATTTGTAGCTCTACAGACCCTCTGCCTCTGCAGAGAATATTCAAAGCAGCTCAGTGTGGTAGTGATTAAAATGTTTCATGGTAATAAAAATGTCATCAGTTTAAATCTCAACAGTCGTGCCAAGTCCGCAGTGAGGAAAGTTACTATTTACTCCCAAAAAAAGTAGACAGAATTCACTAAACCAATTGACATAAAATGTATTGAAATTTAACTGTAAACACAGTGTAATGCATTTTTAAATGTCATATTTTTAGCAGTTCACCCAATTAATCCAGGTTCGGTATTTGCAAAAATGGCACAAAGGTAATTCTATTTCTCTCATTTACTACCGAGGTTATCTGCTTTAGTTTGTTGTGTTTTTACTGATTTTGCATCTAACCCAACCCCCGATACACCTCCAATATGCATAGATAAATTTGACCAATATTTACATTTTATGTACTTCTTAAAGTATTAATAAATATCTAAATGGACCAGGAAGATACAAGACAAAAGAAAATCCCTCCAAAAGTTATGTGTGAGATTAGAGAAGACAGCCTCTGAGAGGATAACAAAAGCTTCACGCTTGACTCATTTACACCCAAACCTTTTTGAGAGGAGTTTGTGGAGTACATGTAAAGTCAGAGTCCTCAATTACACCAGCAAAAGAAAAAAACAAAAAAGAACAAGTCAGCAGGGGTCAGAAAGAGCACCTAAAGGTGCATAGTCACAGCATTATAATTTTGACATTTATATTCCTGCAATTCAGTCTGGTTGCATACAATATTCTTTGGCATAGTGTTTATTATTTTTGTCTTTTAAGCTTTGCTTTTGCTAAATCTTTTAGTAAATATAGCCTTTTGTTGTATATTTACTATAACAACGTCATGGACCATGATTATGTCACTGCAGATGTGTATAATTAGTCAACAAGCCAAATTTAATGGAGGCAAGGAACTCCTAATGTAGTTGCAAGAAAAAAGAAAAGTCCAAGATTAATCTTGAAAAGGTGCAAGAATATGTTTGATTCCAAGATGTATAAAACTCTAGCGGCGCTGGGAAAACAGTCTGACCATTGAAGTTTATTAAGATTGGAGCTAAAGCTTAGGAAGCATGGGCGTAGGTTTGCATAGGGACCATAGGGACATGTCCCTACCAAAATTTTGAACCGTCGTAATTGTCCCTACCAATAATTGGATGTGAGCAACATGTTTATAATTTACAGCAGTAGTTGTTGCAGCAGTGGCTTCTTTTCCTCTCGCAGCTCCTCTGCCTGGTCTCTCCTGTCCCTTTCATGTAGCAGCGCATGGAACTGTGCTGCGCTGTTTAACTCCACTCTCATTGGTTGTTCTGCCTTAAGTTCCGCCTTCTCTCTCTCTGATTGGCTGTTTTCTAGTCCGCGTGTGCTTGGAGCACAACATTGAAAATATATTCACACTAGAATGCAGCGGTTACTACAATTAATATTAGGCTACAAAACTAGTCCCAATTAAAAAAAATGAATATCATGTACACTAAAAAACAAAAACCTTTTTTTTTCTTTTATAAAACGAAATATTCTGAGTCAGCCAGGAGTTCTGAAGACTGCTGGAAAAATGGGCAAATAAAGGCTGTAAGCCATCAACATTTCTGATTCTTAGCCATAGCCACCTAAAAAAGAAAATGTGAGGATTTCCTTTTTACTGATATTAAGTTGATATTACAGTTTTCATTTTTTTGTTTTTATTTTTACAATTTTGATATAATAACTGATCTAAGTGGGTTGCTCTGTGGGGAAAGGCACATTTTACATTTATATTACTGTATGTTTTAAAGTCTCTATACTCCAGTTAATGATGAATCACGTACTAAATTAGTTGACGATTATTGAAATAATCAATTAATATGATTCATTTTTTTCAGCCCCAGATGAAATACATGAAATGGGCTACACAGAGTAACTACAGCCCAGATGTTCAACTTTTATAGTGAAGTTAATATTTTAATGAATGTATTATTTTGCTTGATACAGAGAGAGCATAGTAGGTAAAAATATAAGAGTGGGGTTTAACTCTGCACAATTCTATATCTTCAAAAGAAAATACTGTATTTACCTTCTCTCTTAGTCGTTCAAATGAAACCGTTTTCAAAGTGGAAAACAGTCCTAATTCCACATTCATCAGAGCCGGTGATACTTCAAACATTTATAAACAGCATCTAATGAGTGTAGAGCTTATAACATTTTTATTAATGGAGCAAAATGTTGCTTTTCTCTTTTAACAATGAATTCCTCTTATCAGTACGGATGCTCACATCGAACATAAAAAAGGGCATGCATATTGCATAGCACCAATGACACCAGACTAATAGTGTCCCTACCAAAGTTCAAATCAAACCTACGCCCTTGTTAGGAAGTGTTCTCATGTCTCTGCCAAGTTAATATACATGTGAGTACATGTCCTTGCTAACAGTGCTACTGGTGTTAGCAGAACTTTTAAGCCCTATCCTCCAAGCTGCTGGCTTTCTCTGAGACTTGACCAAATGTTTGGCACAATCAGGACTTATTTAGTAGCTGTGTCGATGGCCGACATCTGGCTTTCTGGTAGTTCAGTGGCACTGCTAGTAGATAGGTCCACATCTGTTTATGTCTGCTTAACGTGGTGAGGTTCTATTTAGGTTAAAAATGACTATCAATGCCATCAGGATGGATCCATTGGGTTATATAGACATATTTTATCATAATCTACCAGATTTTGGTCTTTTTGGTGTAGGCGTGAAATGACATGTACATGTACCTTCAAATACTGACAGTTACTAAATTCACAAAGGGATTATCACCTAGTAACATTTTGTTTTTCAGAAACCATACTATTCTTTTTTTTTTGTTCTTGCCTGGAATTTGGTTGGGTACACTAGGCTCCTCTAGCAGTCCAAAAACGATGCAATATAGTGTCCGATTGACTGCTATGTGTCTATATTTGTTGCACTAAGATGGACTTACTACCAGCCCAGGATGGATGGAGGAATTTGTTGAATGCTCCTTTTTATAGCCAGAGGTTGCATTGGCTGGAAGACATGCAGTATATGACTGAATAGTTCACACTGTTTGTGGAGATAACCCACTGGCACGGATAGTGTAAACAGTCTTGCCATAACATTTTTGGGAAACACAGACAGAGCAATTACAGCAATACACATAGTCTTCACTGATACGTGGAAGGTTAGAGCTCTCCTGTAATGTGATATGGAAACCAAAGCTTATATATTGTCAGAATACCAAAGAATCAGTCTCTCTCTGCTGCTGTGTTTGAAGGGCCATAGATAGGAGAGCCAAGTCAGCCAGTAAATGTGTTTATTAGGGTTGTCACGATACTAAACTTTTCAACTCAATACCGAAAATATTCGATACCATTTTCGATACCACAAGGATAAAAACAAAGACTCCAAAATTCTACAGAAATATTTTCATTAATAAATAAAATACAACAAATAAAAACAATAAAGGTTGTATGCTGTGCGCAATATTAAGCAAGCTTGATAAAAAACTAAATTAAGTTTTCCTTCCTTGACTATGCTTTGCACACATAACAATGACGCTAGCCAAACCGGTTAGGAAACAAAGTCTGAAACTGAAAAGTGCAGAGAATTATTCAATCACACAGTGTTCTGTAAGTGCATTTTTCTCTATTCTGCACTTTAGATGAATGACTGCTTAGGTACCACTGGTGGTAGCTACTGTATCGATACTTTTAAAAACGAGTATTGTATCCGGATACAACATTTCAATATCGATACTTTTTTGAGTATCGATACTTTTGACAACCCTAGTGTTTATTGATCAGCATTTAATAGAAGGTTTGTTCAACTTTAACACTGATTTTGAGGAATTTATACAAGTAATTATTGAGTGAATGCTTAAGGGAAAAGAAAGAACCTGGATGGATGGATGGATGGATGGATGGATGGATGGATGGATGGATGGATGGATGGATGGATGGATGGATGGATGGATGGATAGATGATGGATGGATGAAAAACTAAAAAAACTAAATTCAAATACATTTTTCTGATTGCTTTTTTATTCTTGAAAAATCCACTTTAAATAAACGAGGATTTATAAAAAAAGAAATGAATAAAAGAAAAACTCCTATAAGATCATTAATAATCCCAAAGTTTTCTGAGGAATTTTAACATAGATTTAACTCACTACCACTGATGATATTACAATATCACCGTCCCTTTCTGTCACCCAGCTTGATAACGTTTAGTGCGATATCCATGGCCCCTGGAGAGCAACAACTGTTTGCTCTGAACCTGTCAGAGTGTGGGTCAGAAGCATTCCTTAGAATATGACAGAGATCCCTAAAGGCTGGATACAGCTGGAATTTGCAGCATTATGAATCTGGTTTCAGTTGTCCAACAATTTTTTCCCCCTTTTTTACAAATCAAAACTGACACACTAGAAGGAGCAATGATAAAACCCTAATTTTCAAGTGCAGCTCATAGTTTAGTTGAAATTCTGATTAACCTTTGAATTTAAAATTACCAAATGCATTCATGATAGTCTGTGAAAGCGCTACTGTTTAATTCAGTGCGACAGAGACTGGCATCGACAAACAGCATGTGGCAAACAGGGTTTATTTTAGTCCCTGGCACATGACATCTCTGCTTTTTCTCTCCCTGAGGAAGATATAATTTATGCTATCCTTTAAACTCTCTCCCCCTGCACTCTGCTGACTTTGTTCATTTCCCTGACGAAAGAGCAGCATAAAAATCTCCTTTTTCTGAAATTATATGTGTCTGTACAGCCCCAAAAAGCAGATATCTAAATTCCAGAGTTGAAACGACAAGATGAGCCACAGATACGGGCCTAATCCGTGAGGAGCTTGACATCAATGTACTAATATTGAACTACTGTCACTTAAATGATCTGTTAATACTTCAGCACCCATATATTTAGACGAGGGAACAATTTGATGAACAGCTCTTATGTGCTGTTTATGATTATGTGCTGTCATGGTCATTTTTCTGCACCCACCTGATGATGTGGAAGATTGCCGATATAAGGAGCTCATTGTAGATGGCCACAGCGATGTAACGCGGCTCATGGAAAGCAGAGGGGATGGTGCGGACAGCATAGCACAGGTACACTCCCCAAAGCAGGAACAGGAACTCAGCTAAAATAAAGGCAGTCGACAATTTAGAAGGTAACCACATTTAAAGTCTCTCAAATGTTAATAATCTCCCAAAAACAACATTTATCAAAACAAAGTCAAGCCAGACTGTGAAGCGTGAAGGAAAATAACACAGTTTCTGATTCTGTTGTGAAATAACTTTTATGTACCTCTATTACTGCTAATACACCAACCCCTTAATATGATACAATTAAATTAGCTAGAATTGCCCTTATTAGCAATATTAGTGGAAAAACAGCTTAATTTAGACCAAGGAACCCAACAGACAGATTGGGGAGAACGTTACTGGGAAATATAAAGCAGTTTTAAATGGGAAAAAAAGTCTTCAGAAACTTTGAACATCTCACAGACTGCTGTTCAATTGATCATTAGAAGATGGAAAGGATATGGCATGAGAGGAGGTCTAAAAAGAGACATAGAGAGCAAAAATCAGAGAAGCTGTCAGCCAAGTTTACTCTGGAGGATCTGATAGAGATCTACAGCTCAGGAGGAGGAATCTGTTAACAGGATAACTATTCACTAATCTGGGCATCCAGAAACAATGGCAAAAGAAAGTGCTGAAAGAAACACAAATAGAATTAAAGTTTACAAAATGAGAATGCAACTTTTTGGTCTAGAACAGGGATAAACTCTGTGCATCCCTAAAAATATACCATCCCAACTGTAAGAAAAAAAAATTTAGTAGCAGTAATATTCTTAGAAGAGAGAAACCTGCAAGGGGCTCAATAAAGCAAGAATTACTACCGAGAAAACAGCTGCTTGGGTTTTTTACTATAGTGTCCCTCTGACTTCAGCAGCCAGTGGAGCAAAGGACTAAATGGAAAAACCTTTTTCATTAAGGTTTGTCATGATACAAAGATTTCATACTCAATATCAATATCAAGTAAAATAGTGGATACCTTAAACCCTTTTGATATCACTGGGATAAAAATGACAACTAAGGATTAATAGGCATGAAAAAATTGGAAAATAGATAACCCAGAAATCTAAAACCAACAATAGCAAAAAAAAGGAAAAAACATTTGTCTTTAGTATCGAAAATATGCCAAGTTAGAATTGTATCCGGATACAACGTTTGTTTCTTTTGGGAATATTGGCACTTTTGACAACCCTGCTTTTATTGACTTACTTTAAGCTTTATTTGAGTCACTTTTAGGCCTAACCTGAAATTGTAATCTGTCATTAAAATTTGCAGAAAGTTTCAAAGGTTTTTTTCTTTATTTTTTATTCTTTATGAAACATTCTCGACAGAAACATACAAGCTGTTATTGCGCGTTCACTTTTTTCCTCACGAAACTTTATATACCTTGAAAAAATGCATTCCAAATTAGCTCCCTGTTGTGTCTGCAGAAGTATTGCATCTTTATCTTTAGCTCCCTATATAAAAAGGTCATCTTAGTGACAATAGGTTTCCTTTTTACAGATGGTCCTTATAGCAAACCACCCATGACCTTTAAATTAGGAAGATATACTGTTAGGTGTAAAGTGCAGTAGGACTGCTGTACATACAGTACGCTGTAAAATTAGCTGATCCTTTTTCACACTCTTCGCTATGAAATGTTTATTTACATGTAAAGTATGAAACCCTCTTTATATTTATTTAAAAACCATAAACCTCTGTGTATTTAAATAATTTTAATAGGTAGACCAACAGAAATGACTGCTTAGTTATTTTTATAACTTAAAAGAAAAAGACTGAAAAGTGTGGTGTAAGTTTGAATTCATCACAAATGAGACAAGTCTTCCTAGGATTGTATAATTACAGCTTCTCTCATTTTTGCATATTAAGGGACTGAAACTTGTCCAGTCTCTGCAAAATAGCTACAACTGAGTCATGTTTTAGCAAATAGACAGAGAGCAAATATTAATCAATTATTTAGCTCCATCCATCTTCCTGCCAGCACTAATAAGCTTCTGTGCCCCGACTAAAGACATTAATTCCCAACGTATGACGCTGTTACAGCTTTAATTCACTGTATTGTGTATAGGCCAATCTGCAGGGTTAGTTTCCCTTTATTTGTCGCACTTAGCAGGTAGAAGTTCACTTCTATTTTCATCAATCAAGAAATACCCCATAAATGACTGGTGGTTGGACTTCTTTTAGTTATCCTTCGATTATCATTTTCTTTTCAGTACACTTGTCCCAGTCTTCTAGAATTATTGCCTTGTCAGATGCTAAAAGCTTAAACATGTATTTTATGAGGCGACTGATAATAAACATCTACAGGTTTTGCTCTGACTTGACTTTGGTCTGAACAATGCTTTGGTCACTACAGGACAGTGTTCTAACAAAAGTACAAAGCTGCATCAAATTAAACACATAGGGCCGGATCCATCAAAGGTTTGCGTGTATAAAAACGTGAGCTATTTCACTGCGCACGCTAAAAAATGTACAAACTGATCTATCAACAGCATGCTAAAAGGATTTGGTCTTTAAAACGCGCTAAATAGCGCCTCTTATCCATTTAATACTTTTTCTGCTATGAATATGCAATACGGGGCGTTTACACGCAAAAGTGCGTCTTGTGGGAGGAGAACATGTAAATATCTTAATTTAGCACTCGCAAAGTGATTTATTAAACTTGAAAGCAATTTTGCTAACGGTATCTGACTCTATATTTAACACGTTTCAAAAGAAGGTGCAAATGGTCTGTATGCGTAATTGCGCACACATGGCAGCGGTTATTGTCGCAAGAAGGAGACATGGAAATGAAGCAAGGAGACGCAGAGAACGCATTTTTTCACTCCGTGTGAATATTTTTGGAATGAACGAGGAAACGATCATCAAAACATTTCGTTTATCCAGCATTGCCATATTGAAGCTGCAATTCCAGTGATTTGCTCCTCACAGAGCGTCAGCTGTACTTGTTCTTCAATGCTGGTCAGAGGCATCTCATCTACTGTGCCTCCTCCTGTTTTGTTCGCAGATGTTTTGTTATATGCCAGTTTTTCTTTGGTTCGCCTTCTAATATCCTGGTATCTTCTTTTTACTTCATCCACTGCTGCAAGGTTTCACCAACAGCGTTTACTTTATTACAGATTTGTTCACATGTAGCGTTCCTCTGTGTGACAGTCACACTTCTTTGCTGTAGCTCACTTAAATGTTTGTAGGCTTCATATACCAACACCTCCATTTCCATGGGGTCGAATTTCCTTTTGCGCTTTCTGCTGTCCAAACTCGCCATGCCGCAAACCACAAAACGCGCAAAACCATCATTTAAATAGGGCGTCTCCAACAGTTTTGCACCTGCCACCAGTTACGCAATCGCTCTTGTTAAATCACCCTCAAACCATGGTTCAGCCCCTCGCGCAAAATTCCAGTTTGCGAGCGCAAATTATTGCACGCAAAATTGGATCTTGATAAATCCGGCCCATAGTTGCTACTGCATTTACTGGGGAGTGGTGACCTAGTGGTTAGGGCATTGCGCTTGGAATCCTGAGGTTCTGAGTTTGAGCCCCACTCCCACAGACTGCCACTCTGGTTTCCTGAGCAAAGACCCTTTGGATGGGTTAAATGCAGTCTGTGAATTTCGTTGCTTTGTACTTGTGACACTATAATGACAATAAAATAAAAATAAAAAAAACAGTAACAAGAGGCAATTGGTTGCACTAGGATTTACTTTTTTAGAGTATTGTTATAAATTGGGATTAAAAAAACCAACATAGTTTAGCCTTCTATAAGTAATCACTCCCATGTACTTCTTAGTGCTGGTTTAATGCATTAAATCCCCCCAAAAATACGTTGAAACTGGTGTTTGTGAAACTTAAAAAGTTTGAGGGATACAGTATGATTGGTTCTCTGTATGACAGCAAACAGAATTATGCTTTTAGACTTTAAGCTGCTCCCTCAAACAGTAATAAAAAAGAACAGGAAGCAATTAGAAGTTAATCCTCATCCAATGACAGCAGTGTTTGTTCTCCTACTATCGCGGTGTTCTAAGAAAGCTCATTATCACCTAATGTAGTTTGAAAGCATAAAACATCTAAAGTAATTATTCTAGTGTGTGAAGCTGTGAACTCTGTGTCTGCATTGTGAAATTAAGTCTTGAATCAATAGAATACAATCTCCAAAGAATAGAAACAAACAAAGAGCGTCATCTATCAGTGGAAGAAACAGATTCAAATGACACATAGTTTTAATTTGGTATACCCTTTTAATGAACCTTTCCGAGCCACAGAGGGGATTCAATAAATACGTCTTTGGTTTACATTAGCAGATGAAAATAAAATAAACAACAAAAATCTAATAAAAAATAAATTGGTATTTTGTCTGTGATGTTTTTCTTTTAAATAACATTTTGAAGAATGGATGTTTTTAGAGCATCATGATTATAGAAAGAAACAGAAAATGCAGGTGAATACAAATTAATCAATATGAGAGATGTTTAACAATAGCTCTTTACTGTTTATTATGGTGCAAAAAAACTTTTTTTTTTTTTTTTTTTTAGAATATTGCTTTACTACAACACTTGTCAAAATTAAAAGTAAATGAAAACAGCAAAAGAGACTTCTTTTCAAAGGCATGGCATGCAGCTTTGATGAAATGCTCCAAAGCTGCTTTAAAGGGTCCTCCCTGTCCTTCAGTGCAGCCTCAGCAGCACATCAGCGTGTTCTCTCTGGCTGTCAGAGCAAACAGCAGGGCTCCCTCATTTACCAGCTTGTCTACAGACATTCAAAGGAACAACCGGAGGGATTCTTGGGCACATTTCTTTCAGGGTGTGCATGTTTTCTTGAAGTTGTCACACGCAGAACTGCACACATTTTCTCTGTTGGTGTTGGGTCTCCCCTCTACAGAGTGTCCTTAGCCGTCCTTCCTCCACATTCTCACCCTTTTCCATCTCTTTCTGAACTTCTGCTGGCAAAGAAAAAAAAATCTCTTGTTGCATCTTTGGCCACTACCTGCAAGAAGCATAAATTGAACCCTCCATCTCATTCTGCCACCTTCACTCCCTCAGTCTGTCTGTCTCCCAGGTTTTCTCATT